ACTGTTTTGCTAGCACAGACTGGAATATGTTACGGGATTCATCCAATGGCATTGAGGAGTATACCACCTCAGTCACCGGCTTCATCAATAAGTACATCGACGACGTTGTCCCCACAGTGACCGTACGTATATATCCCAACCAGAAGCCATGGATTACAGGCAACATCCGTACCGAGCTAAAGGCTAGAGCTGCTGCTTTCAAGGAGCGGGACAGTAATCCGGATGCTTATATGAAATCCCGCTATGCTGTCCGACGAACCATCAACAGGCAAAGCGTCAATACAGGACTAATATTGAATCCTACTACACCGGCTCTGACGCTCGTCAGTGTGGCAGGGCTTGCAAACTATTATGGACTACAAAGGGAAACCCAGCCATGAGCTGCCCAGTGACGCAAGCCTACCAGACGAGCTAAATTCCTTTTATGCTCGCTTCGAGAGGCAAGCAACACTGAAGCATGCATGAGAGCACCAGCTGTTCCGGACGACTGTATGATCACGATCTCCGTAGACGATGTGAGCAACACCTTTAAACAGGTCAACATTCACAAGGCCGTGGGGCCAGACGGATTACCAGGACTTGTAGTCAGAGCATGCGCAGGCCAACTGGCAAGTGTCTTCACTGACATTTTCAACCTCTCTCTGACCGGGTCTGTAATCCCTACAGTCATGGTCAAAAGTTTTGAGAATGACACAAATACTAATTTTCACAAAGTCTGCTGTCTCAGTTTTGATGATGGCAATTTGCATATACTCCAGAATGTCATGAAGAGTGATCAGATGAATTGCAATTAATTGCAAAGTCCCTCTTTGCCATGAAAATGAACTTAATCCACAAAAAAAATGTCCACTGCATTTCAGCCCTGCCACAAAAGGACCAGCTGCCATCATGTAAGTGATTATCTCGTTAACATAGGTGAGAGTGTTGACGAGGACAAGGCTGGAGATCACTCTGTCATGCTGATTGAGTTAGAATAACAGACTGGAAGCTTTAAAAGGAGGGTGGTGCTTGAAATCATTGTTCTTCCTCTGTTAACCATGGTTACCTGCAAGGAAACACGTGCCGTCATCATTGCTTTGCACAAAAAGGGCTTCACAGGCAAAGATATTGCTGCTAGTAAGATTGCAACTAAATCAACCATTTATCGGATCATCAAGAACTTCAAGGAGAGAGGTTCAATTGTTGTGAAGAAGGCGTCAGGGCGCCCAAGAAAGTCCAGCAAGCGCCGGGACCGTCTCCTAAAGTTGATTCAGCTGCGGGATCGGGGCACCATCAATGCAGAGCTTGCTCAGGAATGGCAGCAGGCAGGTGTGAGTGCATCTGCATGCACAGTGAGGCGAAGACTTTTGGAGGATGGCCTGGTGTCAAGAAGGGCAGCAAAGAAGCCACTTCTCTCCAGGAAAAACATCAGGGACAGACTGATATTCTGCAAAAGGTACAGGGATTGGACTGCTGAGGACTGGGGTAAAGTCATTTTCTCTGATGAATCCCCTTTCCGATTGTTTGGGGCATCCGAAAAACACCTTGTCCGGAGAAGACAAGGTGAGCGCTACCATCAGTCCTGTGTCATGCCAACAGTAAAGAATCCTGAGACCATTCATGTGTGGGGTTGCTTCTCAGCCAAGGGAGTGGGCTCACTCACAATTTTGCCTAAGAACATAGCCATGAATAAAGAACGGTACCAACACATCCTCCGAGAGCAACTTCCCCCAACCATCCAACAGTTTGGTGATGACCAATGCCTTTTCCAGCATGATGGAGCACCTTGCCATGAGGCAAAAGTGATAACTAAGTGGCTTGCGGAACAAAACATCGACATTTTGGGTCCATGGCCAGCAAACTTGTGGTCGATCCTCAAGAGGCGGGTGGACAAACAAAAACCCACAAATTCTGACAAACTCCAAGCATTGATTATGCAAGAATGGGCTTCCATCAGTCAGGATGTGGCCCAGAAGTTAATTGACAGCATGCCAGGGCGGATTGCAGAGGTCTTGAAAAAGAAGGGTCAACACTGCAAATATTGACTCTTTGCATAAACTTAATGTAATTGTCAATAAAAGCCTTTGACACTTATGGAATGCTTGTAATTATACTTCAGTATACCATAGTAACATCTGACAAAAATATTTCATAACACTGAAGCGGCAAACTTTGTGAAGACAAATAATTTTGACCACGACTGTACATGTTTCAAGCAGACCACCATATTCCCTGTGCCCAAGAAAGCGAAGGTAACCTGCTTAAATGACTACCGCTCCGTAGCACACACGTCGGTAGCCATGACGTGCTTTGAAAGGCTGGTCATGGCTCACATCAACACCATCATCCTGGAAACCCTAGACCCACTCCAATTCGCATACCGCCCCAACAGATCCACAGATGACGCAATCTCAATCGCACTCCACACTGCCCTTTCCCACCTGGACAAAAGGAACACCTATGTGTGAATGCTGTTCATTGACTACAGCTCAGCGTTCAACACCATAGTGCCCACAAAGCTCATCACTAAGCTAAGGACCCTGGGACTAAACACCTCCCTCTGTAACTGGATCCTGGACTTCCTGACAGGCCACCCCCAGGTGGTAAGGGTAGGCAACAACACATCTGCCACACTGATCCTCAACACTGGGGCCCCTCAGGGGTGCATGCTTAGTCCACTCCTGTACTCCCTGTTCACCCACGACTGCGTGGCCAAGCACGACTCCAACACCATCATTATGTTTGCTGTCGACACAACAGTGGTATGCCTGATCACCGAGAACAATGAGACAGCCTATAGGGAGGAGGTCAGAGACCTGGCAGTGTGGTGCCAGGACAACAACCTCTCCCTCAATGTGAGCAAGACAAAGGAGCTGATCGTGGACTACAGGAAAAGGAGGGCCCCTATTAACATTGACGGGGCTGTAGTGGAGCGGGTCGACCGTTTCAAGTTCCTTGGTGTCCACAACACCAACAAACTATCATGGTCCAAACACACAAAGACAGTCGTGAAGAGGGCACGACAACAACTTTTCCCCCTTTGGAGACAGAGAAGATTTGGCATGGGTCCCCAGATCCTCATAAAGTTATACAGCTGCACCAACGAGAGCATCCTGACCGGTTGCATCACCGCTTGGTATGGCAACTGCTCTGCATCCGACCGCAAGGCGCTACAGAGGGTAGTGCGTACGGCCCAGTACATCACTGGGGTCAAGCTACCTGCCATCCATTTACATTTAAGTCATTTAGCAGACACTCTTATCCAGAGCGACTTACAGTTAGTGAGCGCATAATTTTTTTTTTCATACTGGAATCGAACCCACAACCCTGGCGTTGCAAATGCCATGCTCTACCAACTGAGCTACATCCTTGCCGGCCATTCCCTCCCCTACCCTGGGCCAATTGTGCGCTGCCCCACGAGCCTGGATTTGAACCAGGATCTCTAGTGGCACAGCTATGCAGTGCCTTAGACCACTGCGCCACTCGGGAGGTCCATCCAGGACCTCTATACTAGGTGGTGTCAGAGGAAGGCCCAAAAAATTGTCAAAGACTCCATTCACCCAAGTCATAGACTGTTCTCTCTGCTACCGCACGGCAAGCGGTACCGGAGCGCCAAGTCTAGGTCCAAAAGGCTCCTTAACAGCTTCTACCCCCAAGCCATAAGACTGCTGATAGCAGTGGAATTTAGGCGTACCATTTTTTTATGACGCGTCTTTCCTACAACGGCCGAAGATGTAACATGCATTTCCCAAAACACCACACAGTGAAAATGGTCACTAGTGCATTGTTGGAGCTTGTGTCGATGCTGACAGGATCTAAAGAAAGGAAGCGCTACTCTCAGATCAGCTTTCTCCATTCAAATCTTTCCTTAATATTATAATTATTTCACATTGCAGACAATGGATCAGCTCCTAAAGTGATATTACCACCTATGGCTGCAAATATTGAGGCGGCTTATTCTAATGCTTACCCAATAAAAATGCACAAAATCACCGCACATCATTGAGCACATGTTAGGCTACACATCATGAAATATTTTGAGACAAATTACAGACAGTAGTCTACAAGTAGCAAAATAGAACTCAATTGATTGAACATGAAATGTATTTCAATATGATTGATGTTTATATTTTAATGCAGTGATCTCGGTTTTCATTTGAAGCATATTTTTTATACGTCACTTGTTTGCATCAATTGCAAAGACATTGGCAACTTTGTATTTGTAGTCGACTTTGTTCTGCAGTTATCGTGATCACAAAGAGACAGGTAAACCATGTGATTTTATGTTTAGCGGAGATCTTCTGTGTATAAAGTGACGCGAGAGGGGGAAAAAGCATCTAATGATGCACTTATCTGTTCTACGAGTGGTCTGAGTCAGCGTTAGATTACGAGCGTTTTCATGTGCAACTTTAATCGATGGTTTAGGGGGGAAAGCTTGGAGATTTAATGATGCTCCTACGAATGTTCTAACGATGAACTTAGCCTTAAAATGCTCTTGGGAAATCAAATAAAATGTTATTTGTCACATGCGCAGAATACAGCTAGTGTGACTTTACCTTGAAATACTTACTTACAAGCCCTTTCCCAACAATGCAGTTAAAAAGTAAGAAAATTAACAAATAGATCAAAAGAAAATAGTAACACAATAAAATAACACAATAAAATAACAATAACGAGGCTATATACAGGCTATATACAAGGAGTACCTGTACCAAGTCAGTGTACTGGGGTACGAGGTAGTTGGGGTGATTGATTGAGGTAATATGTACATGATGGTTTGGTGGGTGACTGATTGAAGTACTATGTACTTGTAGGTAAGGGGTGAAAAGCAGAAAGTCCGGGTAGCCATTTAATTGTCTTATGGCTTTGGGTTAGAAGCTATTCAGGAGCCTTTTGGTCCCAGACTTAGCACTCCGGTACCGCTTGCCGTGCGGTGAACCGGGTCCTCCATGTTAGAATGGCAATTTATTAATCAATTATGTATGTTTCTGTGCTTTCCTTTTAGAGTAGGTTGGTGTGCCATGGAGACAACAACCAGAGTTATGTATGTGAATCAGACCACTGCTGTGGAGAGTCTAAGTGCTGCAGCTACTACTATGAGCTCTGGTGTGAGTTACCAGCTTCCTTCTCTCTGCTCCCCTTTCACCCTTCTCTTTTCTCTCCCTGTTTTATTCCATGTCTCCTCTCCTCCATACAGTGTATGCCTAACCATAGTTATTTGTGTGAGCCTGTTGCTATCTCCTCTGTTCTCCTCTGATCTCCTCTGTTCTCCTCTGTTCTCCTCTCCCCCTCTATCCTCTCTGCATATCGTAGTCCCTGTCTATCCTCTGTCTCCATAGGTTGTGTAAGTCTTGAGTTGATACTGTGAGAGGGTAGCTCTAGTTGTTTGCAGGCAGGGTTGTAGTCTCATGTTACTGGTGCAGTCCCTTTTATAATAACTCAAGACTTACTGCATGGGCTTTAAAGCTACTGAGCCTGGAGCAGTTTTTCATTTGTTGTTTAGGCCTATGTTGTGCTAAACAAATTATCCTGAGCACTGAGGTGTGTGTGTCAGAGGTTTGAGGCCGACAGACCTGTTGGAAACGGCGTAATGCTTAGCTCTGTTTTCAGGGTTCTGGTTGGTGTGGACCCTCATCATCATATTGATGTGCTGCTGTGTGTGTCAGCGCCGGCGCTACAAACAGCGCTTCCAGCAGCAGAGGAGACAGAACGAGATCAACCTCATTGCATACAGAGAGGCCCACAACAACACACAACATCTCCCACTCTATCTCAGTGAGTGTCTGTCTGTAGCATATGTTTGCGTGATACAGCACAATAAAAAGTACAATACATAATACTATCGGCCTACATGTCAATATAATGTGTATATATATCAAGACATTTCAAATAATATCCTCTCCCTCCCTCTCTCGTTGTACAGGATTCCTGCCTGACTACCTGCTGCCAACCTATGAGGAGGTAGTTGACAGCCCTGCCACTCCTCCCCCTCCCTACGGTCCCCCTCCAGTTAGCCTCTCTGTCCACTCAGCACCCTGACTGATTGATGAGGAACATTATTTATTTAATCCATTTTAGAATAAGGCTGTAACGTAACTAAATGTGGAAAAAGGGAAGGGGTCTGAATACTTTCCGAATGCACTGTATGTAGCCTTATCTTAAGGTGGTGACGCACTGACCCTAAAAGCCTGGAGTCTCACTGCTGAGCCACACAAAGGCCAGTAGATTACAGAGTTATGCACAGTTCAAATGCTGAATTTATGGCAAGTCGATCTGAATAGAAACTAAAAGTGGGCTGGCACAGTTGAGAGCTTTTCTTGACATACGGATTGGTTTCATACAACCGCTCAAAACACTGCAGACTTCCTCATTGGTTTTGGGTCGAATTCAGGCATAACAGCGACCTCTTGTTCTTTTTTTATATACCGTTTATTTATTCAGACGAGACATACACGGCCCAACATCAACATTTGATGTAGGAACATACACAACAGGAAACAACAAAGCAAGAAAGATGTGCTTGTTAATCTGAGGCCATGCTTGTACTTCCGATGTGGGTTTATTTATTTATTATTATTACTATTATTATTATTATTATTATTAATTTATTTTCAAATTACAATACAAACACAGGACATCACTACACATATATTTTCTCTAAAGAAACATTAAATAACATTAAAGTAAAATAAAATATATATACAAAAAAAATTAAAAAACATTCACTACACATGAATTGAGTTTCAAAAGTGAAGGTACCTAAAATAAAATAAATAGAATAAGGTCAGGGGTTACAATTGTATGAACCTATGGTAGTGTTGTAAGAATACAATGTTTTTTTTGTGTTATTGACAAATTCTAGAGATTTTATAAAATATTGGATTTCAAGTAAAAATATATTGCATTTAGGAACATATTTGTTTTTGTGTATATAAAATTGACCAGAGAGAATGAAGAAATTAACAGCTAATTCAGCAGTTTTGTTTTATAATAATAATAATAATATGCCATTTAGCAGGCGCTTTTATCCAAAGCAATTTACAGTCATGTGCGCATACATTTTAGATGTAATAACATATTACATCTTTCATTGTAAATACATGGGTCTTATTAATTAAATAAAAAATGTAATTACTTAACTCGCTCCAAAATAATTTCACAGAGTCACACTCATAAAAATGTGTATAATAGTTTCCGATGTGGGTGTGGTAACTAAGCAACCTTTATTTGTACGCGAGACGAGAAACCCAACACGCCCAAAAATCTGTCTTCCCCAGCAGATGGCGATGTTTCGTTTCTTTCGCTCACCAAGCGAGGAGTTTTTGTATGGAGGTCAATGAGAGACTATGTGAGGTTTATTTGATCTAATAGAAGTTTCGTAATGCTTAGGTTGTTACTAGTGTACTGATAAAAGTAGGTAGGACACGTGACATCCCGGCAACTTTGTGAAAAAACACTTTATATCGAAGTTGTCTCGAGATAGTTTTGCATATTCATGACATGAGGCTAGTAGGGTAGCGTCACTCTACATTTAGTACAGGCGGTTGACGTCAACAACCCTGATCGAATATTCAAAAAATTTTAAAATAATGAGATGTATCCACCAATTCAAAGAGAGGAATAGGCGGGAGCTTGAGCCCGCCGTGCCGCTTTGTTGACAACAACTCCCATTGTTAGGGCGGAGAAACAAGTATCTTGTCAGTATATCCATAATCTTCGTTTGCATGCAATTAACATATATTAAAATTTATTACCATTTCACAAGTAGCAGAAGAACGGCTCTGGCGTGCTGCATGAAACATAGGTGTGCTTCACCCGCACCGAAAGAGTGGCAGAGGCTGCCGAACTATTGTCAAAAGTCCTTTCAGACGGCAGTCTATCCACACCCACTCTTCCAAAGAGAAAGTTACATATTTGTTAGTTCGTTGCGACGATAGAGCGTTGTTTGGACGAGCTTCCCACCCGAAACAGTTCGGAACAGTTCGTGCATATAGTATGACGACACTTTGTGACGTTTTTGTTCGTTTTGTGCTTTAATTGTTTTTATTGGTCACATACACATATTTAGCAGATGTTATTGCGGGTATAGCGAAATGCTTGTGTTCCTGGCTCCAACAGTGCAGCAATATCTAACCATTACAAAAATACACACAAATCTAAAAGTAAAATAATTGAATTAAGAAATATATAAATATTAGGACGAGCACTGTCGGAGTCCAGAGTATAAATACTCTATATATATAAACTCATCAAAAAAAGAAACATCCCTTTTTCAGGACCCTGTCTTTCAAAGATAATTCGTAACAATCCTAATAACTTCACAGATATTCATTGTGGTCCTCTGTAGCTCAGCTGGTAGAGCACGGCGCTTGTAACGCCAAGGTAGTGGGTTCGATCCCCGGGACCACCCATACAACAACAAAAAAAATAATGTATGCACGCATGACTGTAGGTCGCTTTGGATAAAAGCGTCTGCTAAATGGCATATTATTATTTATTATTGTAAAGGGTTTAAACACTGTTTCCCATGCTTGTTCAATGAACCATAAACAATTATTGAACATACACCTGTGGAACAGTCGTTAAGAGTAACAGCTTACAGACAGTAGGCAATTAATGTCACAGTTATGAAAACTTAGGACACTAAAGAGGCCTTTCTACTGACTCTGAAAAACACCAAAAGAAAGATGCCCAGGGTCCCTGCTCATCTGTGTGAACGTGCCTTAGGCATGCTGTAAGGAGGCATGAGGACTGCAGATGTGGCCAGGGCAATAAATTGCAATGTCCATACTGTGAGACGCCTAAGACAGCGCTACAGGGAGACAGGACGGACAGCTGATCGTCCTCGCAGTGGCAGACCACGTGTAACAACACCTGCACAGGATCGGTACATCCGAACATCACACCTGCGGGACAGGTACAGGATGGCAACAACAACTGCCCGAGTTACACCAGGAATGCACAATCCCTCCATCAGTGCTCAGACTGTCCACAATAGGCTGAGAGAGGCTGGACTGAGGGCTTCTAGGCCTGTTGTAAGGCAGGTCCTCACCAGACATCACCGGTAACAACGTCGCCTATGGGCACAAACCCACAGTCGCTGGACCAGACAGGACTGGCAAAAAGTGCTGTTCACTGACGAGTCACGGTTTTGTCTCACCAGGGGTGATAATGAGTGTTACACCGAGGCCTGTACTCTGGAGCGGGATCGATTTGGAGGTGGAGGGTCCGTCATGGTCTGGGGCGGTGTGTCACAGCATCTTCGGACTGAGCTTATTGTCATTGCAGGCAATCTCAATGCTGTGCGTTACAGGGAAGACATCCTCCTCCCTCATGTGGTACCCTTCCTGCAGGCTCATCCTGACATGACCCTCCAGCATGACAATGCCACCAGCCATATTGCTCGTTCTGTGCGTGATTTCCTGCAAGACAGGAATGTCAGTGTTCTGCAATGGACAGCGAAGAGCCCGGATCTCAATCCCATTGAGCACATCTGGGACCTGTTGGATCAGAGGGTGAGGGCTAGACCATTCCCCCCAGAAATGTCCGGGAACTTGCAGGTGCCTTGGTGGAAGAGTGGGGTAACTTCTCACAGCAAGAACTGGCAAATCTGGTGCAGTCCATGAGGAGGAGATGCACTGCAGTACTTAATGCAGCTGGTGGCCACACCAGATACTGACTGTTACTTTTGATTTTGACCCCCACTTTGTTCAGGGACACATTATTCAATTTCTGTTAGTCACATGTCTGTGGAACTTGTTCAGATTATGTCTCAGTTGTTGAATCTTGTTATGTTCATACAAATATTTACACATGTTAAGTTAGCTGAAAATCAAATCAAATCAAATGTTATTGGCCACATGCGCCGAATAAAACAGGTGCAGACATTACAGTGAAATGCTTACTTACAGCCCTTAACCAACAGTGCATTTATTTTTAATAAAAAAAGTAAAATGAAACAACAACAAAAAAGTGTTGAGAAAAAAAGAGCAGAAGTAAAATAAAATAACAGTAGGGAGGCTATATATACAGGGGGGTACCGGTGCAGTCAATGTGCGGGGGCACCAGCTAGTTGAGGTAGTTGAAGTAATATGTACATGTGGGTAGAGTTAAAGTGACTATGCATAAATAATTAACAGAGTAGCAGCAGCGTAAAAAGATGGGGTGGGGGGTGGGGATGGGGGGCAGTGCAAATAGTCCGGGTAGCCATGATTAGCTGTTCAGGAGTCTTATGGCTTGGGGGTAGAAGCTGTTGAGAAGTGTTTTGGACCTAGACTTGGCACTCCGGTACCGCTTGCCATGCGGTAGCAGAGAGAACAGTCTATGACTAGGGTGGCTGGAGTCTTTGACAATTTTGAGGGCCTTCCTCTGACACCGCCTGGTATAGAGGTCCTGGATGGCAGGAAGCTTGGCCCCAGTGATGTACTGGGCCGTACACACTACCCTCTGTAGTCGGAGGCCAAGCAGTTGCCATACCAGGCGGTGATGCAACCAGTCAGGATGCTCTCGATGGTGCAGCTGTATAATTTTTTGAGGATCTGAGGACCCATGCCAAATCTTTTCAGTCTCCTGAGGGGAAATAGGCTTTGTCGTGCCCTCTTCACGACTGTCTTGGTGTGTTTGGACCATGATAGTTCGTTGGTGATGTGGACACCAATGAACTTGAAGCTCTCAACCTGTTCCACTACAGCCCCGTCGATGAGAATGGGGGCATGCTCAGTCCTCTTTTTTTTCCTGTAGAAAATAAACGCAGTTGTAAGTGAGAGGACATTGCTTTTTTTTGCTGAATTTATATACACAGTACCAGTCAAAAGTTTGGACACACCTACTCATTCAAGGGTTTTTCTTTATTTTTACCATTTTCTACATTGTAGAATAATAGTGAAGACATCAAAACTATGAAATATTACACATATGGAATCATGTAGTAACCAAAAAAGTGTTAAACAAATCAAAATATATTTTATATTTGAGATTCTTCAAATAGCCACCCTTTGCCTTGATGACAGCTTTGCACACTCTTGGCATTCTCTCAACCAGCTTCATGAGGTAGTCACCTGGAATGCATTTCAATTAAAAGGTGTGCCTCGTTAAAAGTTAATTTGGGGAATTTATTTATTTCTTAATGCGTTTGAGCTAATCAGTTGTGTTGTGACAACGTAGGGGTGGTATACAGAAGATAGCCCTATTTCATAAAAGACCAAGTCAATATTATGGCAAGAACAGCTCAAATAAGCAAATAGAAATGACAGTCCATCATTACTTTAAGACATGAAGGTCAGTCAATCTGGAACATTTCAAGAACTTTGAAAGTATCTTGAAGTGCAGTCGCAAAAACCATCAAGCGCTATGATGAAACTAGCTCGCATGAGGACCACCACAGGAAAGGAAGACCCAGAGTTACCTCTGCTGCAGAGGATAAATTGATTAGAGTTAACTGCACCTCAGATTGCAGCCCAAATAAATGCTTCACA